TACAGCCACAGTGGTCAAAACAGCATGGTACTGGTATAATGATGAATATTCAGACCAATGGGAAAGAACTGAAAACCCAGAAATGAAATAATCGGCATACAGACAACTGATCTATGACAAGGGACCAAAAAACATCAAATGAGAAGTGGATGCCTTCAACAAGTGGTGCTAGAAAAAATGGATATCTACCTGCAGAAAAATGAAGCAAGACCCTTACTTTACTCCATGCACAAGAATAAACTCAAGGTGGATCATAGACCTTGAGGTAAAACCCCAATCTATTAAGACCATCAATGAGGGAATTGGGACAAACCTGAGAACTTTGCCACAGGGAATACATAGTATTTAGGAAATAGGGAAAGACACAAACACAGGGGAAGCACAAATTGTTAAGTGGGATATATTGAAGATAAAACACCTGTATATAATGAAAGACTTTGCCAAGAGAATAATAAGGGAGCCTGCACACTGGCTTTACATCTTTAGCAATGACACATCAGACAAAGGCCTTATTACTAAAATCTACAATACTCTGCTAGCCTACAATAAGAAAAAAACAAATAACCCTTTGTGAAGATGGGCAAAAAACCTGAACCAAAGTTTCTCAAGAGCAAAAATCCAAATGGCTAACAAACTTATGAGAAAATGTTCCTGATCATTAGCCATAAGGGAAATGCAAATTAAAACAAGCACGAGATGCCACCTAGCAACCTCAAAGACAGCCCAATTCAAATAATCAAAAGGCAACAAGTGTTGGAGGGGATGTGATGATATAGTAGCTCATCCTCTGCTGGTGGTTCTGTAGGAATGTGTAGCCATTATGGAAATTAATATGGGAATACCTAAAACAAATGGAAATATAGCTACCATATGACCCAGCAATCCCCCTACTGGCCATAGACCCAGAAAAAGTAAGAAACAGATCACGACCATACATCTGTGCTCCAACGTTCACAGCAGCTTAAATTTCCATTAACAGACGAATAAGTTAAAAAACTCTGGTATATTCATACAATGGATACTAGGGATCCCTAAAAAGCAGCGATGAATGCATGAAGCACATCATCACATGGGAAGAGTTGGAGGAAATTATGCTAAGCAAAGTAAACCAAGCACAAAAAGACAAGTACAACATGAATCCACTGAGATAAGCTTTAAAAAAGCACACAGGGCATAGGAGAAAAGCCATCACATGTATAAATTCCTGAGACAAAGTCCAGGCACTCTGGAAGGTGTCAGAACCAACCCAGGTATACATATGGCAGCCAACTAAAAAGGAGGGGAAAGCGGGGGAGATGACATGGATAGTGGGGGGAACAGCGCATAACCCACACAAGGGGAGGGTATTGTTTACGTCTCCACAGGAAAGCAAAAAAGGGGCCAAACCATCCTGGGGCCTCAAGTCTCAAGGGCAAAATACGACCCCCTCCTCAGAAAAATGCACTACAGAGGACAGCACTGAAGATACAGCCCAGGGAGAGTGGCCAGATCACACAGAAGCAAACTAAGAGGGAAGGGAAGGAGAGAGGGAGAGAGGGAGGGAGAGAGAGAACCGCATCCGGGTCCACCAAGCCTGGAAGATGACATTCCTACTCGTAGCAGTCAATGACAGAAAGGAATGTGGGGCTGGCCCCACCATGAGACGTGTCTCCCATCACTGACCCACAGTGCTACGTGAGACAGAGCTGGAGACACAGTACAGGAATTGTGCCTGGTGTGACACCCTCTACCCCAGAGGGAAACACAAAGGGCCCGCAACAGAGAAGCAAGGGGACCAAAGCATTGAACCCGGAGGAATCCTGAAAATAGACTTTGGAATTGGTAGGCAGGAGTGTGGTACATCAACCAGATCTGATTGGAAAACATTCAGAAGCGTCAGCAGACAGACTTGGAACTATTTATAGGATTTTTTCTTCTTTTTATCTCATGTCTATCCATGTAAGATAGGTGGGATAACTAATACCAAGGAGAAAAATCACAGGGCCGATGGCTCTGGGGGGACATGGCAGAGGAGGAGGTGGGAGAAATGGGGGGAGGGGACGGATAACAAACCCAGAGATATGGAAACAATAAGACATCTAAAACTGATGGTACGGAGGGGGTAGAATGCCTGCTGGGGTTTGCTCAAGTGCATTGTAGCTGAGAGAAAATATATTAATATATAACGATAGGGATATAGGTCTATTTACATATATTTAAATGTTAAGTATTAAGGTAGCAGACAGGAATTGGGTCTTTACTCAAGTACACCCGCAAAGCAAGAACACTTTGTTCTAATAACCTGGCATTCTATGATGCTCACCTTCCTGATATGATCTCTGAAGTAAAAATGGGTGCATAAGCAAATGTGGTGAATTAAGCTGATGGTGCCCAGCTATTAAAAGATATAGCCTCCAGGGTCTTAAAGGCTTGAAG